ACCGCACGTCGTGACGTGTCTTAAGAACACACTACCGCGACGGTTATTTATTGGATATCTTTTTTTTTTTTTTTTTTTTTTTTTTATCGCGATTATTCTCGAGAACCTCCCGTTGACCTCGGTAAAATTTCATGGAAACGAGATCCACGGTCGCAAAAGAACGTGCGCCGTATAAAGTTAAAAAAGTTTCGTATGCATGTCTGGCTCCGTTGAAACGGAACGTTCGATGTAATACAATCGTCGTGTTTGCGCTCGGAGTTCACATTCTCGATTCCCGCATACTGTACTCTTCCACGCCGCCCGTCCATCTCTCTACCCGCCGGTGTTCTCTTCGCCGATTCTTTCTCCTCACGCATTCTTCGGCATTCGCACGATAGCGAAAACCGATCGTGGGATTGAGAGCAAAACTTTTTTAACTACTTGGAACGTACGTCGTTTTGATAGGCGATAGAGTGTAGAGGGAACGAGAAATACACCGTGAGAGAGAACGGAAAAGGAAAAGGACGAATACGAAGTAAGCGAAGGCAAGAAAGATTGACCCAACCTCGTGACCCTCATCCCGCAGCGAAGGATAAGCGTATCTCTTGCTCGAGGTAAGAAGGATGAGAAACACGACGTCAAAATGCCTCTTAATCTCATGCCGTTCTCTCTCTCTCTCTCTCTATCTCTCTTCCTCTATGGAAACACACACACAGGAACATCCACAGCTTAACGAAATTATTCCTAAATAAAATTTATACTTTGATTTACTCCCGATTGAGGTTTAAATGTTTTCGCAGAAACTCCAAATCCGCGATTTTCAAGTCGATGGAAATATCGAACAAAAAATTTTTAACGAACGATTTTAAAAGACAAAAAATATATCGAAATTTTTATAATTATATTAAATATCCACACATTGTATTACATTTTTATAATTACATTGTTCCGAATACGTATGTGTAAAATAGAACAATAAAGAAAATTGTATATTTCAGGTGGAATATGTGATCTTCGTACCGCAACCCGATGATGGCGAACTGCTGCTAATTATTACGCGATGTCAAATTAATTTCGATATGCACGCACAATAATATCAATCAGAACGCTATATAATATCAATCAGAATGTGGACAGAATTGGCAGCATATTAATGCAGACGTACTATCAATAAACTAGCTGATTATACTCGGTATAATTATGAGAAAATCCGTCCGTTTCAATCAACAAGAACGTCCACTCGAGTAACGGATCGTGTGTTTTGAAATTTTGTTTTCTAAAAAAAAAAAAAAATCGTTTTCTAAAACGTCAGATCTCTCGTTCTTGTGCACAGATGACATCTCCGTTATCGAGCGCGTTATTGTAACACACTCATTTTCCGAGCCTCTCGCTCGAGCGACGGTCAAGCGGAAGACTGTCAATTCAGTCAATATCGGGCCGTGTAGCAACGACACGCATTACTTAATCTAACAACATGTCCCCACGCGTGAGGGCCTCCATTTAGAACGTTTCACGATGCAGCCGAATTCGCGCATGCGTGGTAAACAGTCTGATAACAGTCTTGCGCGATGTATCTATCGAATATGTCAGACATCCGCGCGAGAATAACACATTTAATTAATGCAAGCGAGAAAACAAAACTTTAGGAACTTTTAGAGAGTGAATAAAAAAGTCAAAAAATAGAGAGAGGGAGAAGTGGAAAAACAACACGTGTCTTTAAAAAACGTGACTAAAGTAAATTCACGTGACAGAGAGAAGAGGAAAACCAACACGTGACGTCACTTCCTTTACCGTGCCTAAAAGATTTATTATTAAATTAAAATTACTTTATCGTTAAATTATTAAAATAAATGTTAATGATCCACCGACATTAACTCGAAATAAAATTTCCGTGCGAGAAAATGTATTCAATGAGATAATATATTTTTTAATTTTATTTATTTAAGTAATTCACTTTAATTAATTAACACAATTTAATTAAGTGAATTACTTGTTACTTATGTAAAGTCTTTTTTCGCATTATTATTTTACACCTACATGATAGTAATTTTTTTACTGCGTGATTTGTTTTCTGATTTTGTGTTTTTAATAAAGAAACTTGGACGCGCGCGCGCGCGCGTGGACGCTGCGCGGAAAAACTGCTTTGGTCGTCTAGAAAGTTGAAACTTTATTATCTCTTTTAGGAGTAAGTATACGTGTGTGGGATAACACCCCACGTCTCGTGGCGCGTTCGTGAGCAGCGAAGGGTCAGTAGCCTCGAGCGTGTTTGCAGCAAGCGACTCCGTGGCCTCGCAAACTGGTTTAGCAAAAGTCAAGATCTAGATCGCGACCTTCTTGCAAGCCGTTCACGACTTTGCGCGAGCTCGCGTCCGCGACGGCATCTTAATACAAAGAACAACCCGTATCCGAGTGTTATTGCGATATTATTGCGGCGTGGAAACAGCTGTGTTTTCCCGTGTCAACACAGAACGTCATTTAATATCAATAAATACTTACGAGACACACCACGCATCTGCCTTGTAAAAGAGGCAAATAATGAAGCAGACTTTTCCATTTGACTCTTACGTTGCATATTAAAGGAAAAAGGAAAGAGAGAGAGAGAAGAAAACACATTATTATAAATAACTCTATAAATACGAAATATACATTAGAATCGTACGCGCTTGGTAAAGATGATTTTTTGTGTTCACGTTTTTCTTCAAAATAATTGAATGTTTGCGGTAAAAATGTACGAAAGATGAAAATTAAACAAAACAACATGAAATTATTATTTTACGATTTTTGTGCTCTGTCATTTCGTGTTCGCTATTTATCATTGATCATTTGGTCACTATGATATCAAATAACGTTCAGTAGACTTGAAGTGAACATATCTTTGTTTCCGTCGTTAGCAATTGCTTCTCACTGTTCGACCAAGATATCGCTACGAAGATCGTCACGAAAACAACTAATTAGCAATATGTTTCTGTCCGAACGGCACATTACCTTTCCGGTTATCAACAGGGATCGTGAACAGAAATTTTTTTTTTCTACGTAAACACCTTCAAGTTTTACAATGCAAGCGCGCGCGCGCGCGTACAATCGATAAGACATTTCGTGTTACGCGACTTATAAAGTTAATCAATCGCGGGTTGAGCACAAATTACAGAAGCGATCGCTCAAGCGCGTCTTGTAAGTGATACAACGCGTTTTATCGCGACAAATGACTCGCGTCGACTGGCGCTTCGAGTGTTAATGGCACATTATGTTTATTAGTACGCCGCGCTAGCGAACGGACGTTTACGACGTCTCGCTCGCGAGCAAGCACTTTTCATCGTGAAATACGACCGCAAAGTGACATTCGCGTTCGACAAACCGTTCTAATTACTCCCGCATTAATTGTAACGCGTTAACGTCAAC